CCAGGGGGGGTTTGGTGAAGCCTGGCAGCCACACGCGCCCACACGCCCACACACCCACCCACCCAGGGTCTTTTCCGGTATGTCCCTACTCCATTCGACTCCAAACATTGGGTGACGGCGTCCAATTGTGGGACAGGACTAGAGCCTCTCCAGTTCAAGACTCGGTCGATTGGGTACCAGAAGGACGGTGATCAGATGTCGAGTCAGTCGAGGTGATGAAATGATGGTCTGTTTTCCATCATGATCTCTCGCAGTGTCAGCATCAACGAGGCGGGCGGTTTGGACCGGGCAGAAGTGATGCTTTCAAGCGAGATGGGAGAGTTACATGGGCAGGGGAAAAGGGACAAAAAAGTTCGAGGAGGGACGAAAGCTTGCCGGGGATGCAAGAGGGACGAAGAAGGGGGGAGATGATTGAAACACCGACTGGGCGGAACGGCCGTTAGGAAAGAGGCCAAAGGAAGTGTGGGACTAGGGGGAGTAGCCAATGGGCAATCAATGGGCCGGGGAATAGGGAAGCCACCACGCCTAGCATTTAGCCTACGGGTGCCTAGGAAGCCTAGCAAGCACCAGAAGCACCAGAAGCTAGCTAAGAAGGTAACTAAGGAACCCTCTAGAGCCCCCAAGGGCCCTTACAAGTTCAGGGCAGCCAGTTGGGCAGCAAAGGTGTGAAGTAACCACTGTCGATCATTCTTGTTCTCCCAGAGTCGATCCCCTCACCTTTCTCGCCTTCTCGTTTTCTCGCTTCCTTGCCCTAACAAACTTCTCCAGCCATCGCTCGCACACACACACGCACACATGCCGCCCAATTCTCTCTCGCCGGTGAATGCCGCCCGATGACTCCCTCCCTTCCTCCCTCCCGAGATCGCCGTACAGCCCCCCTCAGCCTCGTGCGTTATGTAAGCCCACGCATGTTGATCAGGCCGCCTCTTGCGCTCAGGCTTCAGGCCTCCGCAGCGGCCACACGGATACGACAAATATAGCCACCCCCAGACTCTTTTCGTCGGTGCCTGTACACAATGCAAGGAAACATCTCGCATGCACACTCTGTTAAGGCCTCGTCATGTCACCTACGCGCCGCTGGTTGCGCTCGCAGCTCAGGACCACCCTCCGAACCATATCGCCCCCACCATTACCAAGAAGAGAGACTCGCCATTGTGTGGCTGATGTTGTTGATGAGCGTGTTCTGTGAATTTGCCCCCGTGCCGGGATGGTGCAGATGGTGCTATTCGAAGGCCTTAGGATTCAGGCCCGTCGATATATACCATCGAGTATGGGTCACCACTGTTCGCCCTTGGAATTAGGAATGTGACCTGTTTACGACCGACTCGACGACGTTGAAATGGAAGTAACTTTCAGCAGCCAGTCCAGCACGCAGAGCCGACTGATATCTGACATAACACCCTCAAAAGATCCCGCAAAACCACCATCATGGTGGAACCGGATGAGCTTGGACAATTGGCTGTGGGAATTGTCAGCAGCGTTGCTATGTATCTGCATCCTCATTGCCATTGTTGCCATTCTCCTTGTATACGACAACCGCGCTGTTCCAGATCTCCCAGAGGGCCTGACGGTGAGTCCTCGGGCGCTTGTCAAAGGTTGAGAGATTCTAATGTCTATTGCCAGATCAACGCAATAATATCCCTCCTTGCGGGCTTTGCAAAGGCTGCTCTACTAGCGGTACTAGCTTCGGCCATTCGACAGGAGAAATGGCTGTGGTTCATCGGAAAACCACGGCCACTCAACACCGTCGACGCTTTCGAGGAAGCCAGCCGTGGCCCTTATGGTTCAACTCTCCTCATTCTCAGTCGTCAAGGCAGTCTTCAGGCACTAGTCGCTGCATTGGTCACCGTCCTGGCTCTCGGCTTCGAGCCATTTCTACAGCAAGTTCTGAACACTGTAGTGCGCGACAGCCCTGTCCCATCGCAACCTGCCTCGATCCGCGCCCCGACCTCGTACAATGAATCGGTGATTGGAAATCTAGGTGGTTCAGGCCTGTCATTGAATGCTTTGATCGGAGCGTTTGGAGGGGCATCAGGCGCCATACCGAATCCTGTTTGCCCCAGTGGGAATTGCACATGGCCAGTGTACAACACTCTTGCATTGTGCACCATGTGTACAGACATGACCAGCAAAGTCAAACTCGGGAGAGACGCGTACAACATCAACTTGACCTCCCATTTCGAGGAGTTCTCTCAGAGCAATCGGACGTCTTCCTCCACCACCTGGTCACCAACTTATTCCTTCCCGCACGGAAATCCCGTTAACGTCTCGGTAGCTCTTGACCTGTCTTTGGCGAGCAGCGTGCAGTGGTTTGTCACCTATCCACGCCGGGTGGTGTGGCCACTGAATATTGACCCTACGCCGGACAGCCACTGGGGTAAGAGCTGGGACAATAAATCATATGCTGGCATCTCTTCTCCTCTGTTTGCCATGGGCTATCTCGACATCAACACAACCTCCTCCTTCGACCAACTGGTCGTCCAATCTGCCACGGAATGTGCGTTTACACCGTGTGTCCGTACTATGGACACTGCGGTCCGCTCCGGCACGACCATCTCACATGCGACAACCACAGATTACGGCACCATTATCATCAGTCAGAACCAACCCGATGGGCGCATTTTGACTGGCTGGGAGGCAGAAGTGAACGATACGAGTTATTTCGTCTATGATTCCGGCAATGATGATTCTCAAGGTCGAGCATTCTTGCTTATTCAAGCCCTCCGGATAGCGCTCGAGGGAAATACCACTTACAGTTACGGCGGGTACTGGTACCCGGACCCTGCTCAACAGGGGGACATTTACAATTTCTCCTCGACGGGCTTCGACCAGAACTCGGGGCCGTGGAGCTCTGCGGGTCAGCAGGCGATCGACGGCAACGGCAATTTCAGCGACGTCGCGGATAGTGTTGGGCGGGCAGTGACGGGTCGTTTCCAGCAGCTACAAGAAACCGTGGCCACTGGGACGACTCTGCACAACCAGGCGGTGATAGTGGTCCGCTGGCCGTGGATCAGCTATCCCCTGGCGCTTGTCGTGCTCGGGCTGACCGGGCTGTTCCTGACGATGTTCTCCACACACCGCAACCACATGCCAGTATGGAAGGAGTCGACCCTCCCTCTTCTTTTCCGGTACAGTTCACCAGTCGAGTTGCAGCAAGGCCATAGCACTCCACTAGGAGGTCTGACACCTCCGCCCGGCACGACCTTTTCGTTTGCAAACACCATCCCAGGTCCTGATTCGAACAAGGTGAGCTCGATTATCGCCCAGGCCTCAGCGGAGCAAGTGCAGCTGCGTCGCCGGGACTCGTTCTGGGTTCTGGACTCGGATCCCCTGCCACTGCAAAGCAGCAGGGACGGTATGTCGAGCCAGCGGACCGTCTGGCATCGAGTATAGAGATGGTAAGAATGCATGGGAGTGGAGGGGGCATGGATTGACAGCACAGCCAAATCTCCCGATGCATTTTGGTTTCTGTGTTTATTTCATATTGTCGTCTGTCAATTTCATATAGTTTTATTTCTGTCCCGTCTTTTCTCTTTCCCCCCGTGTCCGTGTCCGTTGCCCTGGGACTGCGTTTTCCATCGCCCGTCGTACTTGGACTATCAAGCCCCCGACTGTAGGAAGCGAGCCTCGTACCCAACGACCATTGTCAGGGTCCCCAACTCTCTCTCTTCCCCTTTCTGCGCGCACCACATACATACATGTATAAGATGTACCCTCTACCCACCCCCACACCAAAACACATGCGCAGGGAGGGAGAGAGGCCACTGGGCCGAAGAAGGATCATTACTTTCTTTACTTCGCAAGCCTAACCTCTGCAGTGTAGATATATACGACACAACACGACACGATGATGGACTTTTTGCTCTGTATCCTCTTGGTTTTCCCTAGATATCTACATATCTATTGGTCAAATCATATCATTTCTTGTCCATGTCCTGGCTACCTACCTCATCAGATTCCTCTGGGACAAGAAGAAGGTTTTAAAAAAAACCAGCGGAGGAGGAGGAGGAGGAGGAGGGGAGGCGGAGATATATTCTGATTTATATCAAATGGATAGGCAGCGTGCCAATATAGCAGTATATTGAAGCAGCATAGCGGACGTCGCGTGTCGCGTGTCGTGTATCAATTATATCGTGTATCATGTATCATGCATGCATGACAAAACAAGAAGAAGAACCTTGATCACATCTCGTTCTCGTTTACCGAGGACTCGGGATGAACAATCTGTTTTGCTTATCCGGCCAAAAAAACCAGGCCCCTGAGGGGGTTTGCACATACCCTCCTCCCCTTTTCTCCCTTTTGCCCAACGAATACCAATGGCATGTGGAACGTCTGTGGCAATGCATACATGCATGCACCTTTCACTGACAAGGTCAAGGTCAAGCCTGTCCGTCCGTCGCTGTTCATCTTTCATCTCCGCCAGAGCCTGGTCGACTCTGCATCCCGTCCCCGTCCCCGCTCCCTCAAATGAGCAATAATCTTTGGACGGCATATCTCATATTATATATAAGTCTTCGCGCCCAACGCCCGACCAAGCATTTGCATCATCATGAAACTTCGTAGCAGTCCGAGGTCCCAGCCCAAACTTAGGCTCGCAACATTGATTCGACGCATGTTATTCATTTATTCCTTCCTGTTGTGAACTGACCGGGGTATGATAGTGACAAGATTTCGAACCGAAGGTGACATAAGACATAAACGTCCAGATGGTCTCAACTCAACTAAAAGTCCCAACTGCCAAGCATGGTGAGTATATTTGAACCTGTGTCGGACGGACCGGATCGTAGCCCCTGCTTGGGACTCTCTGGTCCACGGAATTGCGTTCGTCAAAGCGTGAAAGTCCGTGGATAATTAACAACTCGAATATAGAGCCCCAACTCCGCGATAGCTCTTTTCGTGATACCAACTCCAATCCTGGGGTTGACAGTCTCGGCAGTTGTTTCTTTGGATTTATGAAAAGGGCGAGGCAAGGTTGACCGTCGACGACCTCTGGTCCATGGTCATGTCGGCAGAATACTTGGATGTGGAGGTTCATCGCCTTCTTCAATTTTCGGGGGCATCTGTCCTTTCCATTCATCTGCATTCTCTTCCCGCTTGGGCGTCCCGGATGAGGTCCCGATCGATTGGGTATGGCCACCATTGATTGTCTCAGAGCCTCCACCATTCTGAGCCTCGGGCTTGGTGGTCGGCCTAATCTGGGCAGGAGATTTGGAGCTTTTGTCACTTTGACCCGAAGGTTTGCGAGGTGATACTCGTCCATTCTGAATTTAGAAAAAAGTGTCAGCTGCATCTACCTTTCTGATCACGCCTCTGCACAGCAAGCGCAAAGATCACGTACCTGTTTGGCCCACCGGAGACCACAGCTGTTGCACAGATCACGGTTGCCGCTTGGACCCCGTCTCCATTCCGGTGTAACTCGCGTGTGACAGTTGGCACAATCCTTTTCAACCTGGCCGAGCCCCTTTCTCCTCTTGCGCTTCTTTTTGCGACTTAGCAGTGTTTGTAGGGCTTCAGCCAATGTCCGATTTTCATTCCGAATCTTCCTAAGTTCGTACTGCCAACTGGAGCTTCGGGTTGTTTTCAGTTCGTCAAAGATGTTGTCTTCCGAGGCCAGCGCCTCGTCTTGGTTGCCCAGACTCAAGGGGAGAGTGCCTGTTGATTGTAGAGAGCCGGGGTGTTCGACAGAATTCCTGCTAGATCCATCTAGGGTATTGCTAGACGATCGGATTGACGGACGTGACGCTGGAGTTGCAGACCCTGCCGATGCCCGGTCTGTTCTCGACGATGTTGCTGACACTGACCTCTGGTTCAGGAGTGCAGCACGCGTCATCTTCAGCAGGCGGGTCTGCGCAAGCAAAAAGGTGGGTTTGGTGCCTAACCGAGCGTCACCGGGATAGATTGTCGTTTGCGCGTGCAGAACCTGGCCTCGTCGATTCTGGAGATCATGTCTGAAGGTCACTTTCTCGCCTGTTCTTGCGAGTTCAAGCAAACGTAGGAGTTCCTTTTTCGAGTCTGGTCTCATCAACGCCTGCAAACTGGTCCCGACAAGGTCTTCAGGGAGTCGGTCCAGCATGACTCGAGAAGAGGAGGACACATGCAAGAACATTCCCGCCGTTGACATCTTGGACCACAGCTCGCTCTCGCCGAGGTTGCCATCCGTCAAGAGGTCAGCCCGATCCAAGGCATAGACTGGTCGCTCTCGTCCCGAAAGAATCATGAACTTCCTGCCCTTTCCCTGCTCAACGTAGAGGGTGCCGTGCGCCTCAAACCAGGTGTACCCGCTGAACTTCCTGCGGACCCGGTAAATCACGCTCATCGGCTCTCCAGGCGGCGTGTCTTTCAACTCTCTGGTGACTGCGATTATGTCGCTCGGATGACATATCGAGGATAAATTTACGCCAACAAGCTCAGCGGGATCGTACTCTAGGACTCTTCGACTTGCGGGAGATATGTAGAGGAACAGTCCCTTTAGTGAGAGGACATGCAAAACATCGTCGTTGTATTCCAGTAGCACCTTGTCCCGGACGCGTTTTGACACTTCCAAGTCACCACGCCCAAGAGTGGACAAGAGCTTGGACACCTCGTCCGGGGAGATTGTCTGGCCTATGTCTTGCAGCGTTTGACTTGGATCAGGAGGAGCAGGTAGATGATAGGCTGGCAGCGAGCTTCGGTTGTAGTTGATCTCATAAGTACCATCTGTTGAAAATATTAGCTCTTTTCCTTTTGTCTTCTTTGGTTATGCGTGGAAGAATGCCGTACCTGGGTTCTTTCCGGACACCGAATTTGGTTGCTCGACAAGATCGACCTGGAAACCCACGTAAAACTTATAATCTTCAGAATCAAATTGAATCGGAATCATGGTCAAGAGGTTCATGAACGGCTGCCCGCCTTTCCGATAATTGATCAGACTCAGTTGCGCTTCTGCCCTTTTGGCAATTTGGTTCTTGAGATAGAGGACCGAGTTGTTGTCTACATATTTTCGCTTGAGTCCCGACTGCACTCTTCCATCTGGTGACTGGAGGAAGCGACAATTTCGACCGAGGACTTCGTGTTTCGTATAGCCTGTCAGTCGTTCAAACATTTCTGAACAATAAACTATTGGCAGATCGTATTTCTCAATATCACAAACGACAAAGGCACAGGATAAATCAACGGGACCAATATTGATTTCGGGTCGTGCTCTAGTCGCAACGCGCATCTATGGCAAAAGTCAACGGGGTCTAGGACAACAATTTGAGTAGGAACTCACAAGAACTCCTAGCATGTCAAACCCGCTAGAGGAATAGGCATTGGGATATTTGGGATGTTGTAACGGGCCACCTGGTACTGGCGGCATATGTGGCAGAGACGGAGGGTTCATAGCCCTCAGAGTTTGATTAGCATCTATCAGATCGGGTCAGCATTTCACCATCAGATTTGCTCTTACAGCGTCACAGTACCTTTCGCGGGAAACCCCAACTGATTATCTATAGAGTGTCTTCTGTTTGCGTGATCCTGTATATGTATCGGAGAAGCCATGGTAGAGAGAGAGCCCGGTACCATGGGTGCAATGGAGGTTTGCCGTCGGAGGTGATGAGATGGGCCTGGGAAAGGTTCGTGCATGGAGGTCATGCCTTGAGCCATTGCTGCCATTGGGTTCGGAACGGCTGGACTCATTGAGCCACCGCCTGGATCATGGCTGACGGGTTGATAAGGGATTGAAAAACCTTGTTCAATTGGCGAGGCTGTGAAGAGGGTCTCTTGCATTGGGCCTGATTGCATGCCTGGAGCACTTGTGCCTCCAGCTAGACTGTCAAAATCCATCGCCATGTCCATACCCGGCGCAATGTAGGCGGCAGATGCTTCAAGAGGAACAGAGGTGCTCGGAACCATCACAGGAGAGAAGCTGTTGACAGCCGGCATCTGATCAAAATTGGTATTCATTTGGGAGAAACGGGTATTTAGGGACAGATCCTCCCTAGAACGGACTCTTCGTGGATCAAGGGATTTCGGCATCGACATGACATTGGGCGGGCCCATGGACATGCTGGGTTCGTTGGGGTTCGGATCGAATTGAAAATTGGCCAAGTCACTGTCTATGGCAGATGAAAACTCGAGCATCGACGCTCTGCGGGTATGATCGTGCGAGCCTTGTCGATACTGGGACTGATATGTGTTTCTTCGACGCATCAATTCATCATGATTTTGAATGATGATCTGCTGCAGGGTTTGCGCCTGGCCCAAAGCTGAGGCGTCCATATCACTGGGATCCATGCCACCCATACTGTCATCCTGCGTGTAGCCGTCCATTGTCTCCTGTGGATCCGTCCCGGAGTATGGCTGGCCGAAGAAGCTCGAGAACCCGTCCATGATTGACTGTCTCCTTCTCTTGTTCACCCTGTTCTAAGAGGCCTAGAACTACCCTCAGCGAGTATGTTCGGATGGAGGGGAACCGGTAGATTGTCGATGCGGCCGGTGGGAGCGACGAAGTACGGTTTAGCCTGGGAAGGCAAGACGAAACGGCAGCAGTTTGAGCGCTGGTGTGCGCAACATGCTTGCCGCAAGTGTTGTCCGATCGAAGGTGCGACGAGAAAGAGGCCGAGTAGATTGGTTCGAAGCGCGAGAAGAGCAAAAAGAGGTGGTAAAGATGAGAAAGCTTGGATGGTTGGTTCTCTAATGCTCACAGCAGAAAGTCGTGGGTTGCTAGTTGCTAGTTGACTGGGGACAATTACTTTAGATGGGATAGACGGAGCGGGCAGCAGCGCACGAACAGTGTCTCAAACGCCAGTCGGGAGAAGGGTGCTGCTGTACCGCGGGTTGCCAGTCACCAGTTCACCCAGTCACCAGCCGCAGACGCAAGCGAGGGATCAGGTGTGAGGGAAGGGCTTGAGCCTTGAGGAGGAAAGAGAGGAGGATGGCACAATGGGTCAATGCATTAATCGGCGGTGGTGGCGGATGACTACTCGTACTCAGTACAAGTCTGGCTTAGAGCCTGGGAAGAATCCACCCCCGATGAACTATCCATCATGGCGGACACGGACCTCATGGGGCGTAACCAGAAAAGTGTCGGGAATCATGCACGGGTGGATGCCCATAAGCCACACCTGACGATGGGAGGGAGAAATGTGCATCTCAAGAGCCCCAAGCCCATTAACCGCTGGCCGCCGCGCCTTTCTCTGATTAGTGGGCGAGGCGAGTTTGGGGGAGAGATTGCCGGGATGGCTGTTTACTCGTAACCTAAGGGGAAGGATAGGGGGGCTCATTTGCGTGAGTGGCCGTTTATTGGGGGCGTTTGACTGGGCGGTGACTGGGCATATGGGTACCTTCTCGTCCTCGTAGGCTGGCCCGTGGTCCCTAAAGTGTCCCCGTTGGAGGTGCCCAATCCAACACTGGCACTTCATGGGGATCGGCAAGCACGGCATGGGAACCTTGAAAGTCAAAAGATCAATGCCCTTTCGGCAGGCGTGTCGACCTCTGGGATTGGACGTCGTGGGGCATCTACTTGATCGACCTAGCCTGCTGGCCTCTCGATACTGTTGATCCTGTTGATCGTATCGCTCTTTGGGAACGGGTTGGCCAAAATATTTCTTTCTGTCAGTTCGGGTGGCTCAGTCTTGCCAGTCTCACTTTTAGCGTTTAGACCATGGGAATTTTCGCTTTTCCATGCCCTTCCCCTGTTGACCTTGGCCTGATCCCTGGCCATCTGCCATATCAAGATGCGCTATGACGTTTTCGTGCAAGATGCACCAGCACTAGCATCAAGCCACCACGCTGCAAGCCACTGCAGATGAAGGTTCCAAAAGGAAAAGGATTCAGAACCCCAAAAAGGCCAAAACCCTCTCCCCTTTTTTCTAAATCCACCTTGTAGGATATATCTGCATTAGGATTGACTCGATCAAAAGTGGTGTGATTCGTGGGTCTGACATGACATCCTCCATCACTGATGCTGATGGGCCGAATATTAAAAATACACAGCTCAGTGTTACAACAGCAAACCACCCTGGCTTCTTTCCCGACCCTGTGAATTGACGAAAACAAGTCCATACCCGCTGACCTCTACCATCGCTCCAATGCACATTGAATCTCTTTTCATGACACGTTCAATCCGCTGAGTAGGGAATCCCCAGTCCGTCTTTGTACTACAGTGCTGTTGTCCCACCGTCAACCAGGGTATGCAGTTGGCTTGGCCACCAGTGGCGCCATCTTCTCTCGCTGCAACTTCTCTCTCTCCATTTGTGCTCGGTCGTCCTTTGTGATTCGAGGCTTTCGAGTAACACCTCCTCCCCGGGATCCAGGCCCTCCACCCCTGCCAGAGGCTCTTTCGGAAGCCGCAGCGGCTACTCTGCCGCCACGAGAACCAGGACCACCACCCCGGCCTCGCCCGCGACCCCGCTTGATCGTGCCATCCGCCCTGTATTAATGTCAGTCAGTGCATTGTGGGGAATCTGGATCAACAGGTATACATACCTCTCAACAGCCGGCTTTTCCCCCTCTGGTACAAGCGGTCCACAATAGACAAAGAATCCATCCTTACTGGCCGCTGCTTGTGCTTCCCAGAGTAGCTCGCTGTCGTCCACGAAAGGATCGTCCTGGTCGTACTCCTCTACCTTTCTTCGCCGTCGACGTTTTGGGCCTGGGCCATCGGTGCCGCTGTTAGGTTGTTCTTGTCCGCCATTGACTCCAGACATCGCGACGTCTCCGTCGTTGTCGGAGTCACGCTCGATGTCCACGCTAAGGTCTTCATCGCCACTGTCTCCGGCTGACGTGCCTCCAAACTTGCTGCCAGATGCCGACCGTTCTAACGCTGCACCGGCAGCAGCAATCTTGGCCAGCCGTTCTTTTTGGGCAGCTTGACGAGGGTATAGGGCCGCAAACCCATATTTCTCTTCGGCCATACGGGCAAAGTTGATGACTCGATTACCAGGATCCTTCAAGTCAATATGCAGGACGATGTTGGGTCCTTTTTCTGAGTCTTTTGGCATATCGCTGCTCGAATCCCCACCAAAGAGACTGGCCGAGAGAAGTCCAGACCCAATTGGTGGTGGAGGCGGCTGCTCTTTAGCCCGAGCCGGCTTCGGGGACGTAGGGCGAGTGGACGCTTCCGATGGCACTTTTCGTGAAGAGGTGAGCTTTTTGGGTTGCCCTTGGTCTGACATGATGTGATCTACCTCCATCGCTGATGAGCCGTTGACTCTTGGCGACTCGGCCACCCTGCCATTGGTCTGACTGTGGGTAGGCTCCGTCTTCACCTGATGCGTAACCACGGTCGTAGCAGTCGAGGTGTCGGAATGCGGATGCGGATGGTGATCAATGATGCTGGAGATGGTTGGAGAGGTACTAGGGTTATCGGATCTTCTTGGAGGAGTAGCAGCGGGCCGTCCGAGAGGTGGAGCGGGAGGGTTGGTGTCGACAGGTCGCTGTACGGATCTGATGGGATCGTACATGCTAGTTGCGCGAGGAGGGGAGGAGTGAGAAGGAAGAGGAGGAGTCGGCGGCGGTGGTGGGGCGTGCTGTTTGCTCTCATATTCACGTGGTTTATATTCATAGATCCTCTGAGGGGATGTGCGGGCACGCAACGGTTGGTTGTGCATCGTGAGGCCAGATTCGGAAAACTTGGCGGCTTCATCTCGGCGGCTCTCGGTCGCATCTGGAGGGGAGAACTGAACTGGTTGGACCAGAGTAGAGGCCTGCAGACCTGCACTCTGGGACCGAGGCATGATGACGATGCTGCCTTGATCTGGCGGCTCTATTTTGGTTTTCTTGCGTACACCTGTAGCTGTGGGGGCTGTTCCACGGGGCTTACGAGGAACTCGCGGTTTCTTCTCTTCAGGCGTGTTGGGATCGCGCTTCTTTCGTGGTCTTTTGACAGGCTGCGCTGGTGGTGGTGCTGCGCCGTTGTCTTGGCGTGCACCTGCAGCTGTGGCTGGTGAGTTACTGACACCTGCACCGGGGCTCGGTTGGGTCTGTCGCGCGCTGCAGCTGTTTGCAACACCAAGATTGCCTGCTAGGCCTAAGTCGCGATGCGCAGGGTGATAATTCGGAGGTCCGGGAGTGCTCTCAGCATCGCTCGGGGGTGCGCTGGATAAGTCGTTAGATGAACTCCTGGTGTCACGCACTTCCATTTTCAGCTCTTCAGCCTCCACAATCAAGTGCACAACCGAAACCGCAGGCTCACACCCGCGCCATCAAAAGAAGCTCGGGAAGTTGGGAATTGCGTGTGCAGGTGACGGAGATGATTAGGAAAAGGCGATGATGTCGATGACCGGAATCACAATTGATGAATTATTGGAACCGACGATGATGAGGGTCAAAGAGTTGAACAATTAAAGAGTTGATAACTAGGACGTTATACAAAGAGACAATTTGAAGGACGGGGTTGGGCGGTGACGGTGATGGTGACGGGTGTGAATTTGACTGCACAACCTCAAAAGGGTTGTTGAAAACACCGGCTGGAATGGGAAATGTGTAAAGGCGGCTTAGCGGCGAGGATTTGCAATGGTGCAGTGGTGAATGCGGCGGATAGAGCGGACTAGGGAACTTCAAAATTAGAGAAGTAGCAGTGTAGCATGTCCTGGCGCAAAAATCACTCGGACCGATGTGCAAGAAGGTAAAAGAGGAGAGAAAAAGGTCGAGGAGGGAAAGGCTCAGAAGTGGGAAGATAGGAAGATATATGTATGAACCCCGGAGAACAAAACAGCTTACAGGGCTCTTGACAAAGGGTAAAAAAGATTGGGATGGCGAGGGGGGATGATGGGTCGCGAGATGAATGGGAAGGCAACAAAAACCCAGACGGACAGACTACAGCTTGTGACAGAAATGGGAAGAGTGGATAGCAAAACGTAAAATCACCACCCAGGCAGGCCAGGGCAGAGTTGGGAGGCTAGACCTGGGGGACTTGGACGGGTGTCGAGAAGTAGGCGGAAGCACGACGAGGAGGAACGGGGAAGAGACGAGAGAGGGAGAGAGGGGACCAGCAAACAACAGAGAAGCAGCGCATGCGGAAAGCAAGGGAGACCGGACCAGGTGAGAGAGAGTGAAATGAGTCTGGTGAGGCGTCGTGGGCGTGTAAGAGAAGACGAGGCCATTCGAGACTAGACCAGTGCAAAGACCACAGAGCAGCAAAAGGGTAAATGGGAAAAGTAGCAGTGATGGTGGTGACAGTGGTGGCAGTAGTCATGAGTCGTGGCAGACAAGGGCCATGGAAGGAAGATCTTCGACTAGGTGACTAGCTGGACTAGCTGGCTAGGAGTAGTAGCAGGAGCAGGTAAACTCGGTCACAGATGGTGGAGAGAGGGTTGGGTCTCGGTTCCTGGATAACGCAAGTAAATCGACAAAAAACTCTGAAAAATCCTAATGTAGAGAATCAATGG